AGATTTATATCTTTAAAATAAATTTTTTGAAAGATTATGTAACTTACAGTTTTACCCCATTATTGTTGTTGTGGTTCATATCTGCTTATGATTTATCATATTGCTTTATTGGACCTCTAGTAAGTGTCGATGTCGACCCCTCGTCACTACTTCTTCGGGGTTAGGCCAGATACTTACTGGGTATACGTTGATTTACGTACTCATGCTACACTTCTGCACTAAATGTGCAGGATCTGACAGGTTCAATTGGTGGTTATCTTGGCGCGTAGGCGCAGCTGCTGAGGAGACTTTATGGTGAGCTGCATTCCAGGCTACGTATCGCAGCCCACAGAGTCTCCGTCATAGTATTTACTTTATCCTGTCTTATTTACATTCCGAACAGATGTTGTATTATTATTGTACTCCTTAGTAAATATTCATGCACTTATGACACCGGGTTTTGGGATGTTCTAGAATTTGTTTATGGTTTGCTTAACCTCGATACAGTTTTACTTGTATAATATTTAAATTGTATTTATCTACGACTCTAACGCATTTATGTCTCCACCTAACAATATTCATGATTCAAAAATAATAAAATGAATAATTAAATTGTCAATTCACCGTTGGCTTGCCTAACGGCGACGTTGGGTGCCATCACGACTTATAGTGGATTTTGGGTCATGACAATTTATCATATTAAAGCTCTTATTATTCATAGAAGTGATTGAAAAGCTACCAAGCACAACGCGGCGTGAGCAACAAACCAACTAATCGGTTCTTCGCCCGTTTATTGATCCATTTTTCCTGTAGATGCAATGCTCATAGTGATAAACTATATATGATCATTCCCATCCATCATCCTGGTGGGCAGAGACAGGCTTACTAGTCTTCATTTGTGTCTCATTCCGCCTGCCATCCTCCCCTGAAATTTCTTCCAGTGACCTGCCTTTTGTCTCAGTCACCAAGAAAGTGAAGGCGAATCCAAGCATATTTGTGACAGCCAACAGCATCATGGCTTTCTTGATTTTATGAACATTTCCATCTTGCGTGTATTGTTGTATCCCAAATGCACTAATCAGCGCCCCGGCCTTTCCAGATGCGGCGCTCAGTGCGTGGCAGGTGGATCTCACTCTTGTCGGAAAGAGCTCCGCGGGGAGCACAAATGTGGTCGAATTAGGTCCAAAGTTGGCAAAGAAGAAAGTTAAGCCATAAAGAGTTGCGAATGTCCATTTGTGCTCCTTAGTCTTTAGATAATCATATTTGACTCCAATGATCGCCATGAAAACTGTCATCATGAAGAACCCCATCAATTGTATCCTAAACCTGCCAATTTTTTCAATGAAGAACACTGTGAACCAGTAACCAGGGAAAGTACCAAGCAAGGCAATCACGAACATGGCACGCGATGTCTCAAACATCTCCCTCAAAGCAGAAATATTTTGGGCTTTGCTAGTGAGTCCCATGACTGGAAATATGTCCTTTTGAGTGAGGTTTTGGCTATAGAAAGCTATGTCCAACAAGAACCAAGTTGTCATTGTACCTATTAAGTGAAGCCCGTGGCGCTGGAAGAACTCACTGGAGAGCAAAGGATATTCATTAGCTGCCTTGAATTGGGCCAATTTTTCACCTTCTGCTTGGATTTCTATATCAAGAACCTTCCCCATGTTAATCGCTGCTTGTTTAGCATTTCCCTCAATAATAGCAGTGTAACGCCCTGTTTCAGGCATTTTCATTCTCCAATAATAGGTAACAAGTGCTGGAAGAGCCCCGACCATCAACACGATCCGCCAAACATAATCAGCCTCAGGCTCCGTGGACAAAATTTCATCCTGATCAAATGGTTTACCTCCGTACTTGATTAAAAACACTTTGGAGATAATCATCGAAACGAGCCCCGCGAAGATGATCCCAACTCCTTGCATAGCAAACACCGCAGCAATAAACGCCCCACGAGTTGACTTGTTAGCATATTCAGACATGATTGTAGCAGAAAGAGGATAATCTCCTCCAATTCCAAATCCAAGCCAGAATCTGAAGAAACAGAGCGTCCCTATTACAGATTTTGCACTATACCCAAAGGACAAGCCAGAACAAAGTGCACAAACGACCATGAGAATTAAAGTGAGTCCATAGACTTTTTTCCTACCAAGTTTGTCTCCTAACCAGCCGAATACGAGTTGGCCAGATAGAGTACCAACTAGAGCAACTCCAATCACCCAATTGTTAGCCATGTGAGGCAATTTGCCTGGGGCTTTCGCGGCAGGATCATAGTAATAGAGGCGGCCTAAGAGCTTAGAGACAGTAGAGATGCAGAAGAGATCGTACGCATCAGTGAAAAATCCCATTCCAGCAATGATAACGGCAGTGACATGGTACCATTGGGTACGTGCTGTGTCAAGAGCATTGAGCACTACAAGATTGTCTGAGGCCATGTTGATTTTTTCTCTTGTTTGATGAGATTGGTTTGTGTCTCTAACTTGCTATACATATATAAACAGTTAATGCGATTAATTAATTGACGTTTACGCCTAGGTTCCATAGCTAGAACAAGAAATTGGTTGATTGGAGAATATCCTTCTTCTTTGCTTAAATCAATAATATGCCTCCAACTCAACACCACCACAAGAAATTGAAACAACAAGGTGACAGTGATATTCTTATGCTTTACAGTAGATTAATCTTCTTTCGGCAATCACTTTGAGACAGCCAGAACGCGCTAAACTTGCTTATTGATCATCTTGATTAACGACCGCTATATCCACGAGCTTCAACTTATATACTAATGATCTATTTTGGACAAAGCTGTACCAATAATAGGTTTACTTCTTCAGCTTTGGGTTTAAGTTATATACTCCAACAATTTAAATAACTTTTATGCTATATCAGCTTTGGGTTTACTCTATTTTTCAAGTTATTATATCAGACTTGCTAGAGAATTATCTATTGTTGTATGTCAACTTAAACTTAATGATATAGGAAACTTCTACACCATTAATGCACGGAACTAGAATGTTTAGCTTTCACGTTTTTTTTCACTTCATTTGGTTGTTTAAGATATATCGTTTTATACCTTTTAATTAACATTATGCCGTTTGGTTTAATTTTATCATTTTTTCCTATGCATCTTGCTGCAATTTGTTGCTAGCGTTCCAGAAAACTTACAGTTGTTTTCTTTTAACTGGGGGATTGTAACCTGAACATATATATGAATGGTACCATTCATATATATGCTTATCGCCGTCGGTGTCACTCCATGAATGGTTAACATCAAAGGAGAGAATTTGTCTGCATAGCTTTCATCCAAACAAAAGTGGGAAGAATGGTAAATTCCAATTTTGAGCATACAAATACCAACTTTGTTCTTGCAGGTCATTAGCTATATTATCCTTGGTCTTGCTCGTTTATTTGTCCTTTCTGGCTTTATTGTTTTACTATAGTAAATAATTTATCTTGTCCAACATAAGCTTATTCTGCTGCCTAATTAATTATGGTCCTGCTGGTTTCCTGGTTTGTATTGTTTCGGTACATTTTAGACAGTTATCAAAAGTTAGCTGAATTTTGGCATAATTCCAACTACCTTAAATGACCCCATTATATTTAATCCAGTCGTAGTCCAGGGACTGGTGCAATGTACTAATCTGTCACCACCTTATAATAACTTGATAAATTAAGTCTCAATTCCAAATCTTGAAACAATTAAGGATCCTATGGGTGATGGAATGTAACGAATCAAGCTTACGAGGGTGATATTTTGTGCTTAAAGGATGGATCGTAGCCGTTAGGCTGAGTCTTGGCAGTTAGGAAATTAAAGTTCCATCCATTTAAAGTTCAGTCCTTTCATATTTTAAGTACAAGTTTCAACTGTCTTATATTTTCAGTATTTCAGTTTTGCCCTTCCGGTTATGTTAGTTAGAAGTCGACAAGGGAGTTAAGTAATTTGTTAGAAATCAAGCTGTATTTTTGCTAGACGTATTCATTTTTGGAAGGAGCATGAGAATTTCTCTCTCTCTCTAGATCTCATTCGTTCTTATGCTTCTCTTCTCAATTGCTGTAGAATTCTTCTTCACGATTTTGATTAGCCAGTGTGATTCGTTACAGGAACTTTGGGAACCGCTTCTCAAAATTGTTACTTATGCTTTTAGTCCCATGACTACCAAATCAAATTAGCTATGATCTAAATATTTTTTCTTGTCTTTTCTTAATTATTACAAACGGAGGTAAATTCATTCATATAAGCAGAGACGGACTTATGCTATACCAAGAGGGGTTATCGGCAGTGGCGGAGCCACCTTATAAGAAGGGGTGTCAAATCGCGAGAAAAATACACTGTGTAGCTAGGTAAAATAAATAAATTATATGTATATATATTATGTATTGACTCCCTTTAATTTCCTGATATGTTTACTTTTATATATTTTGACACCCCTTAAAGAAAATTCTGGCTCCGCCACTGGTTACCGGTACCCCTAAAGTTCGGCAAAAAATTCATGTATATATGTATATATTTTTAAAAAATAGTGATATATTAATAGCGGACATCCTATATATCAAATTTTAATAGAATCCAAAAAGGCAGCCCGACCTTCAAATTCTGGGCCGCCTCTGCATATAAGACTGTAGCTTTTCTTTTTTTCCAACTTCATTGTCAAGAAAAAGACCGACAAGATCTAACAATATTTACACAAAATATAAATACATAGTTAACCCATATATCACTTTTCGTTTCAGACAGCAAAGGAAATAACCACTTCGGGAGGGAGTAGGACAGGAAATAGAAAATGCAAAATTATTCCCCCACCAATGCAACGCGAATTGGTGAAAGAAAACAATTATCCTAATTTCCTTGCTTAGTGAAGCCCTTATTCTGGAGGTGACTGAAGCTGGAACACAACATTGTGTGACATCCATTGCCCACTTATTAATACATTTGCTATATGCGTATATATATATATATATATATATGCATCTACGTATTGCTCAAAGTGAAAAATAAACTTGCCAATATCATATACCATATCTCAATCCCATCCATCGTCCTGGTGTCCAGAGACAGGCCTAGTACTCTTCATCTGCGTCTCATTCTTCTGTTCATCCTCCCCTGAAATTTCCTCCAGTGACCTTCCTTTTGTCTCAGTCACTAAAAAGGTGCAGCAAAATCCAATCATATTTGTGAAGGCCAAAAATATCATGGCTTTCTTAATTTTATGAATATTTCCGTCTTGCGTGTACTGCTGCACCCCAAATGCACTAACCATTGCCCCTGCCTTTCCAGATGCCGCGCTCAGGGCATGGCAAGTGGATCTCACTCTTGTCGGAAAGAGCTCCGCGGGGAGCACAAATGTTGTCGAATTGGGTCCAAAGTTGGCAAAGAAGAAAGTTAAACCATAAAGAGCTGCGAATGTCCATTTGTGATCTTTAGTCTTTAGGTAATCATATTTGACTCCAATGATTGCCATGAAAACTGACATCATGAAGAACCCCATCAGTTGTATCTTAAACCTGCCGATTTTCTCAATGAAGAATACTGTGAACCAGTAACCAGGGAAGGTACCGAGCAACGCAATCACAAACATTGCACGTGATGTCTCAAACATCTCCCTCAAAGCTGAAATGCTCTTGGCGTCACTAACTAGTCCCATGGTTGGGAATATGTCCTTCTGTGTGAGATTTTGGCTGTAGAAAGCTATGTCCAACAAGAACCAAGTACTCATTGTACCTATTAAGTGAAGTCCGTGGCGCATGAAGAACTCATTGGAGAGTAAAGGGTACTCATTGGCTGCTTTAAATTTGGCCAATTTTTCACCTTCTGCTTGAATTTCAATGTCAAGAACCTTTCCCATGTCAAGCGCTGCTTGTTTAGCATTTCCCTCAATAATAGCAGTGTAACGCCCTGTTTCAGGCATCTTCATTCGCCAATAATAGGTGAGAAGAGCTGGAAGAGCTCCAAGCATCAATACGATTCGCCAAACATAATCTGCCTCAGGTTCCGTGGAGAAAACTTCATCCACATTAAATGCCTTACCCGCGTAATTCATAAGAAAGATTTTCGAAACAGTCATTGAAACAAGCCCGGCAAATACGATCCCAACGCCTTGCATGGCAAAAACTGCAGCAATAAACGCCCCACGAGTTCTCTTATTTGCATATTCGGACATGATTGTGGCAGAAAGAGGATAATCTCCTCCAATGCCAAATCCAAGCCAGAATCTGAAGAAACAGAGTGTCCCCATAACAACTTTTTTGCTATACCCGAAGGACAAACCAGAGCAAAGTGCACAAATGACCATGAGGATTAAAGTGAGTCCATACACTTTCTTTCGGCCAAGTTTGTCTCCGAGCCAACCAAACACGAGCTGTCCAGTTAAAGTACCAACCAAAGCGACTCCAACTACCCAATTATTAACAGGATGAGGCAGTTTTCCAGGGGCGTGCTTAGCAGGATCGTAGTAGTAGAGACGGCCTAAGAGTTTGGAGACAGTGGTGATACAGAAGAGATCGTAGGCATCTGTGAAAAAACCCATTCCAGCAATGATAACGGCTGTGACATGGTACCATTGGGTTCGTGCAGTGTCAAGTGCATTGAGCACTGTAAGATTGTTTGAGGCCATGTTTGCTTTTTACTGCAAATTTAGGCTGTGTTTTGATGGTATTGTTTGGGTGTATGTAACTCGACAGTATATATAGACTGAGCGCACAATGTTAATTAAATGACGTTTAATCCTAAGCGTTCAGTGGCTAGAACAAGAGATTGAGGATAAGTATCCACAGGATATCCTTCTTCTTTGCTTAAATCAAGCATATGCTTGAATCAAAAATAACCTAGGACAAAAAGCGCGCATGCTTATGCTTTATATGACAACTTTTTCTTGTCTGGTCCAAAAAGAAAGATACAAATTTATATATTTAAAATAATTTAACTTTAAACTTCTTAGTTTACTTTAATAACATATTTTTATAGTCACACAAATGACATGACAATGTTTAAAATGAACCCGAGTTTTGCTCATTAATCATTATATAATACTCTCTTCGTCAGATGCGTATCCAGAATTTTAGGAGAATGAATGTGCACCATTACCTTTAAGATAAATGTTTGTTTGACGGGACCAAAGTGTTTGCTTGAGCATGGGTTCACTCATAATTATTTATGTTAGTTATCACGAAAATACAAGTATTATACATAGTTTAGAGAGAGGAGCATGGGTTCACGTAAACTCACCCCTACAACGTGGATCCGCCCCTGCTCTTCCTTCCATTTTATGCAATGTACTTTGACTAGACAATAAGCTTAAGAAAGAAAGAAAGATTTTTAAAACATGTGATATAAAACAAGTCATAAATATATGCTTATAAATCATCTTATTACGGGTAAAATGAGAAATTTAAAATTAAATTATTTTAAACATAGGAAGGTATTATTCATTTTAGGACATACTATAAAGAAAAATACATCACATAAATTGGGACAAAGAGAGTAGCAATTTGGCCACGTGATTATTTCCGGTACAAGAGATCGGGATACTTGATCTTTTGTGCAATTATTCTATATGTTCCTTATCTTGCCTGTTGTTGAGTTCTGTAAAATTTTGATGATTAGCAAATGAAATATGCTTGATATTAATTTGTAGCAATTACTCCAATTGAGTTAATCAAGTTTAAATTAATTTTGGGCTTAATGCACTATAATGTGCTTATGTGATTTAGGTGGGTACATGGTAATCTGTGTGGAAAAATCAAGGAGTATTTTGGAAGTTTGAGTATCATGGAAATGTTTGACTTAGTTGTTAGGAAGTATATAGAGTTAGAGTATAATGTGCTTAATGCACTATAATGTGCTTAATGCACTATAATGTGCTTATGGAAATATATAGAGTTGTGGCTGATTGTCCTATGACGGATGGAAGGACGGACAACTACTATACCTGAAGTCAAGTGATAATTGTTAGAGCGGTTGGAGATGATAGTTGTTGTCCAAAAAGGTAGACCTTGTTCAAACTAACTCTATATATTGTCTAAATCTTTCTTTTGTAGTAAAAACATATTCAACACTCTTCAGAATAAGTGTCACGATCCAAATTCATGTGACCGGCACCCGGCATACTACCTAAACCGGATGGACCAAGCCCTATAAGAATATACATTTTTATGCCTAATAGATGCATGCAAAAGCCTTTTTGAAAGCATAATCATTTTAGATGATTAATACCATACATGAAACATAATCTTTAAATCCACCATTTTCAATAATTGAAAATACATAAGAATAACAATGTCTTTTTCATTTCATGCTATATGAATAACCCAACAATTACAACCCCAGATGAATACTAATTGTATGTGGAATCTCTAAGACATGAGAATAAAATAAACACTTGGGACAACCCCAACCAAAAGAAAGTAAGATCAACATGACAACTACCATGAAAAATAAGTGGTGCCTCACCATACACCTCGAAAAGAGAGTCATCCTAGCCTCATCTGCCCATCGCGTACCACACCATATCCTGAAATATATAAAATAAGCGGGACCCTGAAGAGGGGCCCCTAAGGGCTGAGTACACAACATACTTAATAAATGTCATAGACTCTCTCTCTAACTCAAGTTCCTGAGACAAGGCTTTGCAAAAATAATGCAACCAATATTTTATATAAAACGATAATAATTATATCAAATCATGCTCTTTATCATTTTAAATGAAAAGACTAGAAAAATATAAATCATGATACAAACTTTTAAAACATTTATATCAACCCATAATTTTAATAAGAATCATGCAAAACCATTTCAACTTCATTAAGTCACTGAAATTATTTTTGTCTCCTTAGGCCTAAACATAACAAAATTATCTTTTACCTTTTCCCCGAGAGTACTATAGTGACATCTGCATAATAAACCACCACTAGGTGATAAACCTAGCAACAAGCATTTGACCCTACTTATCTGAGCGACTTCGTGTAGTGTCGTACGAGTCGACTTAACATCATTACTTTAAGCAATGATCATTTGCTCTCACAACGAGGGGACTTTATCCCACAAATTTCGGCTTAGCCTTGGAATGTGTCCCTACACCGGCACATGTAGTTCCATGATAACCAACTCAATATCCGAACCAATCTCGGTGGTCTCCACTAGTAACTCCCAAAATATTTAATATTTCAAAAATATATTCATAGGGTAGTAGCCTCAAATGATCCATTTTTATCAAATCATTGCTCATGGATAAATTAAACCATTTGAATAAAGACAATAAAATATGTAATCTTCTTCATGTTAAAGCCTTTAGCAATTTAACATCAACCATTCCAAGATATAATGAGTGATATCCATTAATGTAATAGCCCATACTTTTAAAACAAGGATATAATGTGAAAGTA